AAAAGAGTAATTTTCAGCACTGTGCAAAGGAAGCGAGCTTGTAACATCTCCACAGTAGGTGGGTGGGGGGGTTTAGAAACAGACTCATGATGTAGCACAATTACAAATAATTATAGCAGTGAATTTATTTAATCAATCAATTTCAGTGGTAAAGCGCAGGGCAGGGGTGGACAAAGCAGGAGCTCCATTCAGCGTTTAGTTACTAGTTTCACTGCTGGCTGCCAGCCAGAAGTCCTCTGATCCATGTTAGTTAAATGCACATTAATCTGAATTTGGCAGTGTAATCAAGGACCCAACTGAACTGTGAAATTGAATTCTGCAGTGGAACTTCGTTTGACCATTTTATGCTAAGGCTGTAGGGAGGAGCGATGGGGGAAGCCTGCTGCAGCATCAATTTATCTCCGTAGGTTGCTGCACAGCGAGGGAACAACTGAATTCTACCCAGCACAGGAAACGAGATGCACAGCAGGAATCAGCTCTGTTTAACCACCTCTGGAGATTCCTTCACTGGCTCTTCTTCTTTCTTTTTTTTTTTTTAATCTCTTGGGAAGTTTTGACGAGAAAAGGATTTCCCTGATTCTTGGAAGCTGTTCTGAAGACTAAAACCAATAGGTGTGTTTGCCAGTTTATTTTAAAGACTGCTCATTCATTATTTCCAAAACAAATATGCCTATTATCTTCTAACTATATCTTGGAGCAGCAAATTTCTGGGGCATAAATAAACTGGGAATGAAAAACAGATGCATATGATAATTGTACATCAGTTCAACCTTTTAGGAAGAGCTCAGAAAAGGGTAACAATAGAGTGAGTCTAAGACAGGCCAAGAATTTTATCTGGGCTAGAAGAAATGAAGCTGACTGCCAGTGGCAGTGAAGTCTTGATGGCTGGTCTGCGGACACCCCTTTAAGAACAATATTCCAACTATATATTTCCAAACAGCAGAATGTCTTGCTTCCATAAACAAAAATATTTATTTACAATACTTTTTTGATTTCATATTCTGTTGCCATGAATGAAAAGCACTACATTGAAAACTAAACAATGTCAATTTGCTTGCATTATACCTGCTGTGGGTTGGAGGGAAATACTACAATTAGGTATTTTTAACAAAGCTCCCAGATTACCTAGGCATTAGTTTCCAAACTACTCTCTGTGGCCATAAGTCTGGAAGCTAAGGTCCTGAACCTGCATTGCATAGTCCTTACCAAATACGATGGAATCTATACTTAAATATATCACATAGCAAGACACTACAACTTTTTGTTGCTTCAATAACAAAGACTGTGGGAAAGGACACCTTATCAAAAGGAAGTTGTATATTTATTTATGCTTTTGGCTTCTGCAGGAGTGCTGTGTCATATGATTTTGAACTAGACTTTCAAATACTATTACAGTATTTTTGTTTTGCAGTGATATATATTGGGAAGAGATAAAGCAGTTGTCTGATTTTTTCCAACCTTGCTCATTGCATTACATGCAGTTCTGTATCTTAAAAATCAATGGTTGTGCAGCTTAAGAAAACTATAATATAGGGAACAGACTGGATTGTGTTCCTTCTGCCTCCTCTGTAAAAGTCTTAACCCTTGGATCTCATGAGATAGACCGATCAAGTCAATCCCTCCTCCCATTAGTAACCCGACATGCAGTTTAATAAATATCAGAATTATTCTGCATCAAAGTCTTCAGGAGAAAATAAAAAGCTCCTGTTAAAATACTCTCATTCATATATTTTACACATACGTTATTTTCTGTAATGTATGCATTTAAAAAAAAACTGTAAACAACCTAACAAGGTCCAGGCACAGATATCTGTAACACTGGAAAGGGTTAAGTATAACATGCACTATATTTATTGAATTTATATCCCACTGAGAGTGAGATCATGGCGAGATAAAAAATCAGACAAACACATAAAATCATATACCTTTCTAAGTATAAAATAGAAACAGAAATTAATGAAACCGCCCTAAGGAAAAGATAAGAAAAAGTGAAAAAGAATCACTTCCTCAAATCCAGGTCAATGAAGCAGATTAAATTCTGACAAGACATCCATCAAAGTCACAGCAGTGAGACGGAACATGCTGCTGCAGAAACAACTGAAAGGTTTGGTGTTAAAGGAGTTCAAATGCATCTGATGTTCTCCTTGGCACAAAGACTTTCTCAGCTGCAATTCTACATGAGCTGGCCTCAAAGTAAGTCTCACAGAATTCAGTAGCACATCTTTGTGAGTAGAGGTACACAGATTGGCCCTGTTTAGTTGCTAAGCGGTAGCTAGGTCCCTGGTGCTTGAATAATTCTGGTTTTTTGTGGGGGCTAGGCAGGGAAAAACATGGATAGGAAAGCAGAAAGAAAAGCAACACATGAAGAGACCTCAAAGGAATAAGGTGTGGGAGATGCCCGCAAAGGAACATGAGCCATGGCAGATCCTAACACAAATGAAGCACTCATCCACAAATTTTAGCCAATATAAATTACATTTCCTCACACTGGACTGAAAAATGGACAATGGATGTCAACTCCACTCAGAGCTGACTTGTTCAATTAGACAAAATTAACTGCTGCTTTTTTTCCCCTCCATAATGGGTTCACACAACTTCCTCTGGGGCTTGACAGAAAAGAAGGAGCACGTTCTTTTTGACTTGCTGTTCTGCCTATGATAAAACATGGCTAGGTTCTCTATACTTCATTGCAGGCTCAGCTGAAAAATGAACCAGACATAAAACAGCTCAAAAAAACTAATACTCTGTACAAGTCGTGACAAAGATCTGGGATTTGCTGTCTGATGATGTGGGACTTGCTGTGGGCTTAGAGAGTTTTAAAAAGGAATTAGTCAAATACCTCAAGGGTGAATGTGTCTGGTGCTATCAAGAGTTATTAGCCATGGCAGCCAGATACATGGGTTGAGTTTTGACAAGAAAGTACTTCTTCAAATTCCAATCAGAAAAGTAAATCTGCCAGCTTTCGGCTTTGATCATGCATTTTCTGAAGGTATCAGAGCAGCCCTGTTGGAAACAGGTTGGCAACTGTATCGTAGCTGTGCCATGTAAGACTGCAGGCCATAGATAGTGATTGACCAAATACTTCAGGCGCAATTCCACAGAGCCCTCCAAGATGCTTCCACCAAACACATCTTCTGTGAGATGGAAGGGGCAATTATTAGACATATAGGAGTGGGGGTTAAATACCTTAACTGTATTTAATTTTGGAGTGTAGGTCTTGGCACACCACAGTAAAGCCACCACCTGAACTTCCAGTTTCCAACACGGACGTGCACCAGCTGGCCATCACGCATGCACGTGACATAAACCTGGAAGTTCGGGTGCCAGCCTGCGCATGCGCGACAGAACACCGCTCTTCCGGGTTTTGCTGCTCCTGCGCGCGTGATGGCCAGCTGACCAGTGCACGTGTGTGCACAGGAATGTGGAAGAGGAGCCAGCGAAGCCGCACATTCCTCGTGGGATGGTTTCGCATGCAGCTTCCGGCACACATTCCATAGGTTCGCCAAAAGTGCCCTAGACTGAATCAGATAAATCAGCCCTTGCTCTGGAAAGATTCCATTGAGTTCAATAGTATTAACTTGAATGACATGAGTTAATAACATGAAAAGCTTCTTCCATAGTCTTATCTATCTGGCTTACAGGGATCCATTGATAATTATATCATCAGGTATAGCAATCACCAGCAAGCATATGCTTCTGCTAGCAAGTAAGTATTCATTGTGCATGGTTTATTCTGTGACATTGTCTGTGCCCTTTCTGATATTTTGTGGAGAAAAATTAGTTTTAAAATAGAAAACTGTCAGTATGATGGTGATGAAGATGTTCTATTGGAAAATGTAGGGGTAGATTTATCGATGAGGGTATAGAATTGTTGAATCTTTTTAGGAAGGTGAAATCCAAAATGAGGAGGACAAGTAAATCTTAACTAATGAGTTGAAGAAGTACAGGACTGGTCTGCTGTTTAATAGCACACAAAATATCATCACTAGCTTAATTTCATTTCAATATTCATTCATGTTCATGGGTCCGAGCAGAAGGCTAGTCAAAGACTGGTTGCAACTGTCAGACAAGACTGAATCAGTAGTAGGTACTTTATAAAATGATATCCCAATGTGAGATTTATTTGGGAAAAAGATTGTGTCCTGAAACCTTCTACTTGTTCTTTGTTGAACAATGCCTCACAAAAAGCAGGATGTTTGCCATAGGTAGCATCTACACGCTAAACTAAACAATTCAGCCAATTTTCTATGGCGGTTGGGTGCTTACTATAACAAGGGATGTTATGGAAATCAGGTAGTTTCACATTTACAATTCCCCTAAGTTACCCACCTTCTTTCTGATTTTATCCAGACTATTTTCTCCTAAGAAAATGATTTTATATATGGTTGTTTGTGGAAATGCTTCCAAGAATTAAGTATGAGGGAAAACAAGAGAAATAGTCATTCTGATTCACCAGTTGAACATTTCAACTCTTTATGAAACATGGATATATATCTCCATGGTCATGTGACTGGCATGACTAAACGCCAAAGGCGCACGGAACGCTGTTACCTTCCCACCAAAGGTGGTCCCTATTTTTCTACTTGCATTTTTTTAACGTGCTTTCGAATTGCTAGGTTGGCAGAAGCTGGGACAAGTAACAGGAGCTCACCCCGTTACGCGGCACTAGGGATTCGAACTGCTGAACTGCCGATCTTTTGATCGACAAGCTCAGCATCTTAGCCACTGAGCCACTGCATTCCTTATTTCTACTTAGTACCTGTATTAATCTGATTTGACTTCTGTCCCATATTTAGAAGAAGCAGGAATACTTCATCCTGTTCATTATATCACAATGATAAGGGTTTAAAATGAGAAAACTTCCATGCTAACTCATGTCAATTTTCTGGGACACAAACCCTCTTTAGGACTGAGGCATTGAGGTGGTTACCAAAGAGAAACACAGTGTTTAAATGCTGAAATTATAGTAAGGTTGAAAACGTGGACCTATACAAATTTACCTTTGGAACGCCTGCTGCTGTTTCCGACAATCGCGGGTAGGTGTAGGAACTATAGGAATACCCTTGCTGATTGGACTTAAAAGCACTTGCTCCATAGGGCATGATTGGCTCTTGAAGGCCAGACCCTGATCTTGACCTTTGCCTCATGGCTGGTTGAGGACTTGCCTGGTTCACATAGGATGATTTTGGTCTTTTGTCGTAATCATCCTTGGACCACTCACTGTCACTGTATTCTAGTCCTTCTCTGGAGTATTGACTGTGGAGAGAAGTTCTAGACAGAGCATAATGAAAAGGCTCTTTATAATCCAGAGAAGAGTGGCTAGGTGCTCTCTGATATTCCAGCTTCAGGCCACCATACTCATTCAGTTTACTTTTTGTTTCCAAGGAAGTGCGATAATCTGGTAAGAATCTAGAGATGTCAGACTTCAAAGGCTTGGCTTCAGAAAAATACATCTCACTGGGTTTCAGCTTGGCCAGGTGTCCATTTTGCTTTGCAGCACAGCTCCCTTGGGAGTATCTGTCTGCTTCCTCCCCACGAAGGCATCGGTCTCTGTACCTTTCAACAAAGAAATCGGTCCCTGTTTCCGATTCGCTGGAATACTGGGAATAGGTGACAAAGCCATTTTCTTGCTGGTGGATTTCTATGTGGTTGGAGGATCTCAGGTGAGGCGTGGGAGGACTCTCCTTCCGAAGTGAGTTGGAACGGGTCACGGAGATATTGTCAAATTCTTCTAGCAAGCCATTGATTGAAGCATCCTTGCAAGGTTTATTTCCTCTAACGATGGTCTGGGAACAGAAGATAGCTTTTGATTAAAGGCTGCCTTTGATTTAATGCCATAGTGATAAAACCATTCAGCAGAGTCATTTCAGCAACATTGCAAAGAATACAGGGACAGTCCGCTATATCCTTTTATCAGGTGGAAAAATTTTGGGGACAAAATGTCATTTCCCCCCAAGGTGCATCATTGCATACTCTCGCTAACTCTGTCCTCAACAATACTCTTATAAGAAATTACCATTTGATGTTAACCTAGGAATTTAACATTATTTCCTAGAATACTGAGAGAACAGGTTGTGATTCACTTCTGTGGGTCGTTCTATGGAAAGGAATAACTAAACAAATGGTGCATTACTGGTACTTCATTCTTCCATTAAAAAGGTCATGGAAGGTACCACTATCACAGGTGTGTTAGAGAGAGAGAGACAGAGACAGAGACAGAGACAGAGACAGAGAGAGAGAGAGAGAGAGAGAGAGAGAGAGAGAGAGAGAGAGAGAGAGAAAGAAGAGAGAGAAAGAAGAGAGAGAGATTTCTCTGCTCTGCCATCATAGTATCCCAAACTAGATTAAAATCTTCTTTTGACTTTGATCAAAATTTTCTTTTGACTTCATTGAGAAGAATTTTAATTTCTTAAAGATCAGAGTATAAATAACATGCAGCTATAGGAAATTATCTTGGATTAAACATGTAGTATATCCAATTAAGGCGGGCATCAGAAATCCACAATTTTCTAGATATTCTTGGATTTCAACAGCTTTCTGCCCATCCTGCATACAGAAAGATCAGGAATGATGGGACCAGGGGTATCTGCAGAGAAGGCCAACAATATCAAAACTGCAGGTGTGACCAGACACTGAAAGCCCCATCCCTTTTTATGTGATGCATGAGATCCACATTTCAAAGGACAAGGCTTTGACCACTAGTCACGTCCATCGTTTTGATGTTATAGACCTTCCCTGTGGACACTTCTGGATGGTAGTTACCCTTTAATAATAATTAGAGTTCCATAGGTACTGCACATCTGACCCACAACACTGATAACAAGATTTTTATCCAAGACTTCAGGTAATTGGCTAATTAGAGCTGTGATTGGATTCAGTATATTTATTTTATTTATTTATTTGTAAAATTTATTGGGTCCCCTTGTTGCCATATGGTAACTCTGGATGGCTTTACAATATTAAAAGATAAAATTGCATATTTTATTGGTAATATAAAACATAATACTATAAAATCGACCTAGCTAAAAAGATAGGGGGCGGGAATATGATGCGAGGAGAAGAGGGTGGGATCTCTTGTTAATCAATCCATGACCCATATTAAGTTGTTCGTGTGAAAATGTAACTCTCTTTGGATAAAGTCTATACAGTTTATAGTTAAATAGGATTCCAGCCAACCATTCTTGGAGCAAGCAAACTCAAATGTACTTCATGGCTACCTGTGACTTTCAGTAAAATGGGGGGAGGGGATGTGTCTAGTATTTCCACCCTTCTAAGGTTTTTTTTCTTGGCAGTATATAATTTTTAAATTTTTATCCATATGGTTAACCTATCAACCAGTAAGTGACACTTGGGAAAGTAGTCTCAAGATCTTGACAGAGCCACCAAAATATTTCACTGTATTTATAGTTTGAATAGCGTCCTTAACATCAATATGTTGGAGGAAGAGCCTTGGTAGTACAGTGGTTTAAAGCACCCTGTTATTAACACAGCTGCCTGCAATTACTGCAAGTTCGAATCTTACCAGGCTCAAGGCTGACTCAGCCTTCCATCCTTTCTGAGGTAGGTTAAATGAGGACCCAGTTTGTGGGGGCAATAAGCTGACTTTGTATAAATATACAAAAGTATGAAGGCTATTGCTTAACGCATTGTAAGCCGCCCTGAGTCTCCGGAGAAGGGCGGCATATAAATCAAATTAAAAAAAAAAAATCTTTCCCAGAAAGAATCTGCCTTTCTAACCTCGATGGGCAGGAACCATCTACACATGGGGCTCACCTTGGAGGAGCTGTTCCTATAACACAGCTCCTCTCTTATGGAACAGCCTGCTTCCCTAAGCAAGAATACATTCCCATGGTCCTCAGAAGATGGTAAAAAGCTTGTTCTTCATGTATACAGTATATCAGAGAAGTGAGTACACCCCTTCACATTTTGTAAATATATCTTTTCATGTGACAACATTGAAGAAATGACACTTGGCTACAATGTAAAGTAGTAAGTATACAGCTTGTATGACAGTGTAAATGTGCTGTCCCCTCAAAATAACGAAACACACAGCCATTAATGTCTAAACTGGTGGCAACAAAAGTGAGTACACCCCTAAGTGATAATGTCCAAATGGGGCCCAAGTAGCCGTTTTCCCTCCTTGCTGTCATGTGACTTGTTCGTGGTACAAGGTCTCAGGTGTAAAGGGGGAGCAGGTGTGTTAAAATTTGGTGTTATCGCTCTCACTCTCTCATACTGGTCACTGGAGTTTAACATGGCACCTCATGGCAATGAACTCTGCAGACCAATTTGATGCAGCATTTCAAATTGCAGTATTTAAGTATATACTTAAATATTTACAAAATGTGACAGGGTGTACTCACTTCTGTGATATACTGTACCTCAGGGGATGCCTTTGAATCAGTCTTGACTCCTGGAAAGTACCTGGACAACTCCCTACCTTTTCTGGGCAACGTTTTTCCAGAAATGATTTGCCACTGCCTTCTTCCTAGGGCTGAGAGAAAATTATGGACCTGAAACCAGCCACCTTAGGCAGGACTAAAATTCACAATTGCCCAGTTTCTAGTCTGGTGCCTGAACCACTACATCAAATTGTCAAATTGTCTCTACATGTACACATATCCCCATTAGTATCTGTACTTGGCTTTGGGTTCTAGTGGGCTGCAGTAATAGATGAATCACACAGATACACACATAAACAAACAAATAAATTCAAATAAAATTATAAACTTTCCGCTTCCTTCACTTAGGCTATTTGTTTAGTTAAAAAGTTTCTCTCTTGTGCCCTTGACTATTAATAATGATGCTAGTGATGGCTGTTGAATAATACTGACAAAAATGAGTTACGCTGTGTTTCAATACTAAATATGAACTTAATATGCAGCTTTGGAGTAGATAACAATGGAACAAGGATATAGAGATAATTTAGTGGATATGATCATCGTGTAATAATAATAGAAACTCTGAAGTCTTAAATGTTTTTGGGAAGGAGACTTTTATGAAAATTGTCCTTGTACAAATACAATGCAATGACTAGCATGCATCTCAAATAAAAGAGCAGTGTGAGCCTCAATAAGATCTGATATCTGTTCTCGTCTCATACAGCCTATTAGAAGTTGGTTCAGCCAGACCCTTCAGAAGAGTAGTAATAAAACAAAACAGAACCCGTGTATGGTTTACATAACAAGTTTTGATTTGCAACCCATCTTAATAACGTTTGAGCACGCCTGCTCAAAAAAGGAGCTCTTTGTGGTTAATGGGGCTTGCAACCAGTTGCAAATATGCAAAGTCTCATTCAATCACTGGGGCTCAAGCCTCACACTTGTATAGGAGTAAGGCAATGCTGAACTGTGTAATTTAGTTCTCAGTAAGTGAGTACAGAACAACATTATTAAGGACTTACAATATTCCAGATTTAATCATATTCTGATTTGCTTGGAATTAATTTGGTCATGGCAAAATGAAATTGGTGATTTGACATTGTATGCTCAGCAGGGCATCCTCTGCTTTTGTTCTGTCCCCCTTCCTCACACAGGCAAACATAATACCAAGCATGCCTGCCAATATTTTATTAGGTAAACAGATTAGAATTCTTGGCAGACCAAGGTTTTGGCAGCAAACTGCTGAATGCCTGCCAAGACCATTTTCACTCCCATAAAGCAGAAGAGGACTTATCTTCAGTCCATTCCAGGAGCAACAAATTATCCATGAGACAAGAGTTTAGTCAATGTTCAGTCCAAAATATATCCAAGCCAAATTTCAGAGATCACAATGTGACTTTCAGGGTTTAACTTTGTCCGTCAAAAAGCCTGAAGAGCAATCCCATCCATTTTTATTCCTGGTGGGGCGTGGCTCCATGACTCAGCTCAATCTCTGGCCCTCCCACGCCTCTTCCGTTGCTGCGCACGCTTCTCCCTCTGATGCTGCCTGGGATCAAGCCAGGATTCATCATCCTCGCTCCCTATCAATTGGTGCTCTGATATACCTTCCTCCTGGCACATCCCAGGCTGTTCCTCCTGGCCTTTGGATGGAACCTGAGGCATTGCCAGAAAGGAGGGTCCTGGAGAGGGAGGCCTTGTCAGTTCCTCACCATCACCTTCTGAGTCCTCTTCCTCTGTTAGGACAGGCTCGGGAGTCGTGGTCACAACAGCTTTGGCTGTGGCTGTATAGTAGCTTGCCATCAGAGAAAAATCTCATGTTACAGACTGCAAACTACATAGTGTATTTTTTAGAACAATCCTTTATTTTATTTTTCATACCTATGATTAAGGGAATTCATACTTTTTTTTATTTATTGTTAAACGTACTTGGGTATAGGTTAAGTTTCTCAATTCATTCGGTGTGTATGTGTGTCCTTCCTATACAGCATATGGTATAGCACAGCAATATAATGTAATGTAATGTAATCAGTGGGTTGGACTAAAAGATCTCCAAGGTCCCTTCCAACTCTTTTATTCTGTATTCTAGATAATATAATGTAGCATAGCGTAGCACAGCATAATATAATATAATAACATAGCAATTGTATCACAGCAGTTTTTTTAGATGCATTTCATGCCCACCTCCTATGTGAGGTCATATAGTTTCAGTAAGTTGGAGAACCGAAACATAACATTTTTTGGGGGGGGGAAAAGACTATTCAAGCATAAATATGCTGATTCAAAGAAATAAGAATTTGCTACATTGCATACAACACAGTCTGAATGGCTTTCCTCTCCCGTCCCTGGCATTCAAAAGATGGAATCTGTGACAAACCACCAGGGCATACTTAAAGCGATGAAGGGGA